ATCCTCTACAGTCGTAGTGGGGATTGAAATTAAACACCTATGAACTTTGAAATATTTTTATCAATCACAAGACTAATACACCACATTCATCAAATGCTTTGAATGTTGTTGTAAATGAGGCTACGCAGGTAGATTACTGGGATGCTTTTGTTTAGCTCTGTTGATGTATATTGCACTTTTACTTGACCAGAGTTTGGCCTATCCTTTTTAAACTTAACTTCTTGCATTGGCGAGCAATTGTTGAATTAAATTGCACATAGTTTCTATTTTGGCTTTTAATATGAAGACGGTTCTGAACATGCAATATCTTTCTTAAAACAGGATATAGGTTTTCCTTAGTACTTTGAATAATTTCTAATTCTATACCTTTTGGGCTGTTCTTTTTAGAGTTTGGAATATGCACCAGTATTCATGTTTTCTATCATTGTGGTGAGAGACTCATAGGACCAACAATGAAGTTGGTAAAAAATTGGAACTCGATCGGTACCTTATATAGTGGCAAACATCAGCATTGTAGATTTTGGCTTTACTAACATTCTATCTAAATTATATTTTTGTCATAAAAGAACTTTTTCTAGGTTTTTAGTTGTAATAACTTTTATATATGGCTCCAATTTTAAGACTCAAATGAAATGCCTGATTAAACTATAATGTTATGCTATCTGAATTCTTGTCATTGCTATTCCTAGAATGCTTAACGTTACACATTTATGTTTCTTTTTCTTTCTTTTTTTTTGTTTTTTTGCGACGGTAACAAGATGGTCGTCAAAAAACATGTTAGCATTTTTCTTTGTTTTTTGCGACGGCAAAATAGCAGTCGCCATAAGTAGTTTAGGCAGTTGCAAATAATTTGCGACCGTTGTCTTGCGGTCGCAAAAAGTATTTGCCACCCCCATTTGCCACCCTCATTTACCGTCACATGGACCGTCGCAAAAGGTTTTTTGTGACTGTATTTTTATTATTTGCGATGGCTTATAGCAGTCGCAAAAAGTGATTTTTTTAGTAGTGGTGAGATCTCCTTCTCTAATAGTAATAATAATAAAATTAAATTAAAATAAAATAAAATTTAAAAAAACCTGTATTTAAACATATCCTTTAAAGTATATGGCTACTAAATAAAATAAAATTTTAAAAAAAAGACTTAAAAAATAGAAAAGTTGGGAGACAATAAATAATAATTTTTTTCTAATCAGATATATTAATTAATTATAAATATTTTTAGCTTATTTGGGATGAGAAAGTGTTAATAATTGATATTAATTATAAAAATTTCCAACTAAATTGGGCATATTATGAATTGGAATAGGACAAGTTGAAAATGGACTTTTTTTCTAACCAGATATATTAATTAATTATAAATATTTTTAGCTTATTTGGGATGAGAAAGTGTTAATAATTGATATTAATTATAAAAATTTCCAACTAAATTGGGCATATTATGAATTGGAATAGGACAAGTTGAAAATGGAGTTTGATATTAGGACAAGTTGAAAATGTCTAGTGGTTACTTACCCAAAAAGAAATGGTCTAGTGGCTGAAGTAATAAAAATAATAAAAACCTAAGAGACTCTAAATATTTTACCAAACAATTACATGACACATTATATGAGTGTGAGTCTTACATTTATGTGAGTGTTTAGTAAGTAAAATTTTTGATAAAATATTTAAAATCTATAGCCTTACTTTAAAAAAAAAAACAATATATTGACAGTATAATAAGCCCACCACATTTTATATATATATATATAAATGATGCTTAGCTGCTTGAGATTTGTTTTTTATTTTCAATTTTACCCTTTTATTTTGAATAATTTACTAATGGTGGCCTATATGTTGAGTGAAGGTTTTTTCGTAATTAGGTAAGTATTCTTGGTCAATTATGCAATAGGTTTTTTCGTAAATATCACTACAAGAAAAGTGGGCTTATGAGACGGAACTTTTTGCGACGGCACAACTTGCCGTCTCAAAAAATGTGACTTTTTGAGACAGCACAACTTGCTGTCACAAAAAATGTGATTTTTGGAGACGGCACAACTTGTCGTCTCAAAAAATGTGACTTTTTGAGACGACACAATTTGCCGTCGCCAAAAAATGTGACTTTTTGAGACGACACAACTTGCCGTCGCAAAAAATAGAGTATTTGCGACGGTTCCAACTGCAGTCGCCAAAAAAAAGGTGGCGACTCTGTATCTGGCAAAGCAGTCCATGTTTGGCACTTCTTTACAAAAAAAAAAAAAGGTTAAAAAAAAAATATATATATATATATTGTGGCTTTGAGACGGCTTTATATATATATATAGTCATAAAATGGTTTAAATAAATGCAATGGTATTTTTCTATTACAAAAAAAAATAAAAAAATAAAAACGACGTCGTCTTACTCTGAACATTTCTCTTTTCACCCATTTTTTCATCTTTCTATCTCTCTGTCTCTATCTCTGTCTCTGTCTCTCTTCTCTTTCTCTCTCTCACTCATAAGTCTTATCTGTCTGTCTGTCTCTCTCTTTCTCTATGTGTCTCTGTCTCTGTCTCTCTTATCTCTCTCTCTCTCACTCATCACTCTTCTTTGTCTGTCTGTCTCTTTCTTTCTTTCTATGTCTCTGTCTCTCTTCTCTTTCTCTCTCTCACTCATCACTCATCACTCTTCTCTCTCTCTCTCTATGTCTCTCATCCATCTTTCTTCTCTTTATCTCTCTCATCTCCCTTCTCTTTATCTCTCTCGCTCTCTCGCTCATCTCTCTCTGTCACTCTCTCGTTTATCTCTTTTTGCTCTCTCTCTCTGTCTCTTTATCTATATCTTTTCATCCATTTTTTCATCTTCTTTTCTCTCTTCTCTTTCTCTCTTTCATTCATCACTCTTCTCTCTCTGTCTGTCTGTCAATCTGTCTCTCTCTCTTTGTGTCTCTCACTCATCTATCTCTTCTCTCATCTCTTTTCTTTTTCTGTCTCTTTCACTCATCTCTCTTCTCTTTATCTCTCTCACTTATCTCTCTTCTCTCTATCTCTCTCATCTCTCATCTTTCTCTGTCTCTCTCGCTCATCTCTCGTCTCTCTATCTTTCTCTCTGTCTCTCTCGTTCATCTCTCTTCTCTATATGTCTCTCTCGCTTATCTCTCTTCTCTCTATCTCTCTCTGTCTCTCTCATCCATCTATCTTCTCTCTATGTCTCTTTTCTGTCTCTCACTCTCTATCCCTTTCTCTTTCTCTCTCTCTCTCTCTCTCTCCCACTGTGTTTGTGTTGCTCACTCTCTCACTCACGTCTTCTCTATTTACTGAGCTCCCTCTCGATTTATCGATTCACTATAAGAAAATTAACTTTTAGTGACCACTTTGTCTATCTCTCGCTCATCACTCACTCTCTCTCTCTCTCTCTCTCTCTCTCTCTCTTTCTCTTCTCTCTCCTCTATCTGTCTCTCACTCATTTCTCTCTCTCACCACCCATCTCCTCTACCACATTCACCACTACTGCAAACGTCATTCCACCACCACCACTACTTCCACTGTCGCCACATCACCTCTATGACTACCATTACTACTACCATCGCCACCACTCCACTACCACCACTACTACTATTGCCACTACTACTACCATTACCTCTCCTTCACCCCTGCCAATCCATTTACACTACCACTACCACAACTTCACCACTAATCTCTTTCGCCATCACCATCACCATCACCATCACCATCACCATCATCTCTTATCCACTACCTTCACCACCACTGCCGCTCTCTTTCCTCTACAACAAAACATTAGTTCATGATTTTTAGTAACAAAAAAAAATAGGCCGCAGAAAAATATTTTTCATTGACTACAGAAAATTAATTTTTATTTTATTGGAAAATATTTTTTATTAAACTATTACCCCTACTTCTACCAAATAAAAAATAATAATATTTTTTTTCATTAAAATAAAAATGAAACAAATAAATTTTCAATCTTAATAACTAAAAAAAAAAGAAATTTTTTTAAAAAAAATCATTAACTACAAAAATATATATATTTTAACAAAAAATAAAAATTTTTGACGACGGCAACCTCCGTCGTAAAAAAAAAATGTTAAACAATGTTATTTTGCTATTTAAATCTCATTTGTGACTCAAAAAAAATATTTTTTTTTTATTTTTTATTCCCGTCCCTTTTTTTTCTCATTCCCGCTCCCTTCCCCCCTCCCTTTTTTTTCCCATTCCCATTCCCGCTCCCTCCCCAAAACAAAAAATCTTCAATCTCAAACCCAAAAATCCCTAATCTCTTCTTACCCCTCTCTCTCTCTCTCTCTCTCTCTCGATCGACGGCGAGCGGCGAAGGAGCAGCGTCGTCGTCATCGTCGAAGGAGCAGCGTCGTTGTCGGAGGAGCAGCGTCAGAGCAGCAGCAACAGCGTATCTATTTATTTGGAATCTGATATCATATAAAGTATGGGATTTCTTATTTGTTTTGAGGATTCTCAACACTCCCAAGTATGCCCTCAAGATTATTTTCTCTCTTTCTTCTCTCCCTCATATTATATGGAAAGAGATCAGCATATCTATTTGCCTGTTGTTTCTTCAATAAAATTCTCATAAGGTTAGGTTGCATCAATGACAGATCTAACTAATTATGATTCTTTCTTCTTTGAAAAATGACTTACACAAGATTTAGAAAACTGATTAAACCAATGGGTTCAGTCACTTACTAGTTTTCATCAACTTCTGTTGCTCTTTGGTAATCAAATTTTAGAGGGTTCACTCTCTTATTTTGTTTTGATTGTTTCAATTTCATTCAGGTACAACTTGGCAGTTCCCCTCTTTACAAGTTAGATAGAAAGTTGGGCAAAGGGGGCTTTGGGAAAGTTTATGTTGGAAGACGGGTGACCGGTGGATCAGGGCACACTAGCCCTGATGCTGCTGAGGTATATGGTTTGTGAATTTGTTCTCATGGCTCCACTAGATCTCTGTAAAATTTCTTTGAAATTTATTCCGATGGTTATGAATGTGTCCCTTATTTATTTATTTATTTATTTTTGCAGGGGGGTGGTGTCAATAGGTTGCTTTGAAATTTGAGCATCGAAATAATAAAGAATGCAGTTATAACCCGCCTTATGAGTGGCAAGTTTACAAGTATGCAAGATTTCATTGGTAAGGTTGATTGAACTCCATTTCGCTTCCCTTACTAATTATAAATGACTGGTTTCAAAGTCTTATTCTTTATTGCTGGTTTCTTCATGAAGCACTCTTAATGGTTGTTATGGAATTCCTTTGGTCCATTACAAAGGTCGCCTAGGAAACTATTACATTCTTGTGAGTTTTCCTTAATTTTCTTTCGCAAGTCTATGATTTCATTTTGAAAATGTTTCTTGTTCTTTTTCATTTTAATTTTCACTACTGACATTGTGAAAATCATTCCTACTATTATTGTGCTTATTATATTGGGTTTTGTGAAAGCCAGGTCATGGATATGCTAGGCCCAAGTTTGTGGGATGTTTGGAGCACTAAGAACCAGATGTAAGAAGATAGTATCCTTCGTTTTAATTGTTCATATGTTAATATTTGTTTCTGTTTCTTATTGTGTTTGCTTTTTGCACAGGCTGTCTGAAGAGATGGTTTCTTGTATAGCAGTGGAGGCAATACCAATCTTACAGCAGCTTCACTTTAAGGGGTACCTCACTTTCTCTCTCTCCCTCTCTCTCTCTCTCTCTCTCTCTCTCATATGTATATATGCACATGTATTCTGAGCATGCTCATAGTTAATTTTATTTGGTGATTGATGGTGTAGGCACTACAAGTTAGTTTTTGCATAAGTCTCATCTGCAATATATATGTATACAAAATAGTCTCACTTGCATGACAAATCCAACACGAATGTTTTGACATTCTGTTTAACTAATGTAAGAGTCAATGCATAGTTGGTTCCAAGAAGTGAATTGAGAAACTTCCCAACTAGAGATGGAATGGAAGAATATTTCCAATCACAATTTTTGCGTAGTTGTTAGTGATGAGTGTTATTTAGTACATAACCAGATTAAATTGGTATGGTACGATTAAAACCAGAGGGTGTTCACTTCAAGTTAAAAATATTCTTTGATTATTTACAGTAATAGTGATGGTGCATATAGTACATAACTGCATCAGAGATTGAGAGAGTTTGGTGTTTGGTTAAGTTGAAACTCTCATGTATTTAAATTAGTGCATTCAATATCTTGTGTATTGTAAATTAACCATTGCTACTTATAAAATGTTTTTCATAGCAGTTATCTCTGCTTCCATTTGCTTGAGGGGCATGAGAAGAGATTGGAGAGCATTGCCTACTGTGGGTATTTTGATGATGGATGGCCTTGTACCCGCTCTAACTGCTATGGGACCTTGGAATCATCTTTTTTGGTTCAGTTCAGTTGTTATCATTCTATTCCTTGTTTGACTATGTAGCAAGTACCTGAAGGAGTTTTCATTGTTTGAATATAATTGTTTTCCTTCTTAAACTTTCATTTTGAGGGTCTGGTCCTGTTTTGGTGTTTTTTCCCTTTTTTTGGTACAGTCTTTCTGTTATTTTTTACATGCAACTGACCATCTTTTGTTCTACCTATTGCAATTGTAGCCTTCAATTTTATGCTTCTTGTCCCAGTTGAATAAACAGGGTCCTTATTAGAATAATTTTTTTTTTTTTAAATCTTGTCAGATTAGTGATCAATGTGGAAAAAGTGCTTATATCATATTTTTTATTATTTTGATCTTTTTTTGTTTTTGTTTTTTTTTTTTTTTGTTTTTGTTTTGTAAAATATTTTATAAAATCTTTTTTTGATACTTTTGGTCTTGTAAATGTCTATTGATTGAAAAATTTATTTACAAATTATTATTTTGTTTATTATGATCTTGAACTTTTTTTAATGCCTGTATCTGTTTGGTAGTGTAGCAAGTGTCATAAATTTTTTACACAGTAATTTCGGTCAAATATTAACACATAATTATATTGTCATTAATTATTTTTATTTTTATTTTTCAGATATTTCCCATGTAGGAGTGTGCTTCTTGTGGAATGCATGCCTGTGGAGAATGTGGCTAACTTTTGTTTTTGTTATCTACGAAGAATGATGAGAAAAACATTTAATTTTGGTTTATGTTATTTTGAATTATGAACAAAATCATGTATTTAAACATTATATATGTATTATGGAACATTATGTAGTGTGATAATTTTGTTGATGTGTAATTATGAATGGAAGAATATTTTATTATGAAGAAATTGTTATTTTTATACAGAAATTTTTATATTATTATGCAATTATTATGGATAAATTTTAATATTTTTAATAATTTTATCGCATGATGTTTTTTTCTTTTTTGCGACGGCACTACACCGTCGCAGAAAACAGAAAATTTTAATATCTTTATTGATTTTGTTACAGGTTTTACTTTTTGTGACGGCACTAAATTGTCGCAAAAAATAGAAATTTTATTATTTTTTAATACTTTTTGCGACGGCACCACACCGTCGCAAAAACAGTGTTCTTGTCGTTGCAAAAAAAAGACTATTAGCGACGATATTTTTTGTCGTCTCAAATAACATTTTCAGCGACTATAAAATAGTGTCGTCGCAAAAAGTCAAGAAATTTCAAACGTTATTAGCGACTGTAAAGTGTCATCGCAAAAGGTTAAAATGTCGTCGCAAAACATTAGCGACAGCACTGTGCCGTCTCAAAAACTATTTTGCAACGTTCCCAGTTGCGACCCCCCTCTTGCCGTCGCAAAAAGCTAAAATTTTAGTAGTGTATGTAAACATTCTTAATCAATTATGAGACAGTTTTTCTATAATTATGTAAATATTCTTGGTCAATTGTGAAACATAAATATTTTATTTTTTAATAAATTACAAATATACACATAAGATTTGTTTAAAATATGAATCAGTCTTATAATACTACAAATTACAACTATCGTTTATTATAAATTTTAATTTAACACAATACTCAAAAAAAAAATTCCAATGCAATAATAAATTATCAAAATTGTTTATTGAAAAATATTTCCCATATAATTAAAAAAGGTAATTGACTTAATAATTTATTTATTAACCAAATGATTAACTAAAAAATATTTTTCATATCATTAAAAAATAGTAATTTACTTAATGATTTAATTATTAATAAAATTAGTTGTTTGTTATGCAAGTATGATTTATGTATTAATAAAAATTAGTTATATATACATATTTTCTTCTACTTTTTTATTAGTTCAGTAAATTATCTTAGTATTTTTTTTTTGTCTTTTCTTTCCGATTTTACCTTTTCATTTTGAATAATTTACTAATGGTGGCCTATATATTGAGTGAAAGTTTTTTCGTAATTACGCAAACATTCTTGGTCAATTATGCAACAAGTTTTTTTAGTAATTACACAAACATTCTTGGTCAATTATGAAACATAAATATTTTATTTTTTAACAAATTACAAATACACCTATAAGGTATATTTAAAATATGAATCGATCCTGTAATACTAAAAATTACAACTATCGTTTGTTATAAATTTTAATTTAATACAGAAAAAAATATTCTCCTATACAATAATAAATTATCAAAATTGTTTGTTGAAAAATATTTCTCATATCATTAAAAACTATTAATTGACTTAATGATTTATTTATTAATAAAACAATTAATTGAAAAATATTTTCCATATCATTAAAAATTATTAATTTACTTAATGATTTACTTATTAATAAAATTGGTCAATTGTTATGCGAATATGATTTATATACTAATAAAATTAGTCATTTGTGTATATATATATATAGAGTGCTGCTATTAGCACCTACCAAAATTCTTTGGACCCCCCATTTTATAATTTTTTTTATTACAATTATACCTTAAAGTAAAATTACATTAAAAGACATTATTAAATGGAACACTCACCTATCAATAAGAACTAATACTCTATAATATTGGACCCCCACCCCCATCCCCACCACCTCCAACTCCAACTATACGTATTCCATGTTTGTAAACCCAAGCCTATTACTTTTCATAACCAACTAATATAAACCCTAAATCTATTATTTTTCATAATCATCTTAAATCCTGAATGTGTCATCTTCATCACCATCATCAACGCTATTGAACTTGAAAGTTTTGCTTCAAGTATAACGTATACTTCATCACTTATTTCACTGTGTAGAACAATGGAGGACAAGGACTACAATTCTAATGAGACCAGCGTTCCATTAATAAGTTTATCTGTCTTGTATTAACATTCTCGGTCATTTTCGGTCGTTCTTGTTTCGTTCGAACTGTTCGGTACTGGTTTGCTGACTGTTAGAATTATGTTCGGTAATACGGTACTAAACATAATCCTTTCGTTCAATACATAGGTTCCGAACATTAATGCACATAGTCAGTTATGTAATTTTCTTTGTTAAACTAACTTAGAATGGAAAAGAGTGAATTGGAATGGATTTAAGTTATGTATTTTGAATAGATTTAATTCATGTTATTTTAAGTTGTGAATTGAAATGGATTCAAGTTACACAGTGATGAACAAATTTTGTTCGGACATACAGTGCTGACAGAATCATGATTGTTTGACAAAACAGTTTTGAACAAAATACATTTTTTCGGCTACACAGTGGTGAACAAATTATTTTGGGCTACATTCAGAATTCTGATGGCGATACATTCAAAATTCTGATGATGATGGATTCTTTTGGCAGCACTGATACAGAAGTAATGGGCGTCCAACACCGCCCACTGTACGCTCATCTTGATGATGGTGATGATGATGATGATGATGAATGTGATTGAATTTTTTTATAGGTTTTGATGATAATGGCACACTAAGAATTCGCATATCTGGACTGAAAATTGAACGAGTAGACGATGATGATGAACAGGCCATCGCCATGGCTATTATGTCTTCTTTTCTTTCAGTCACTGTGAACCACCCAACATGCAATAACATCCGAGTATCATCTGTTTTCTTCTTTTCTTTTCATTAGGGTTGTTTTAGGAATTGGATGAAAAATTAGGTGAGTATGCATTTCATTGTGAAAATATTATGAATATGGGTAGATTTGGTAATAAGTGGGGTGTCCAAAAAAATATTATTAAAATTTAAGGTTTAGGGTTGGGGTCCAAAGAATTTTGGCAGGTGCTATTAGCAGCACTCTATATATATTCTTCTTCTTTATTAATTTAGTGAATTATCTTAGTATTTTTTTTTTAGATGAGAGAATTATCTTAATATTTATTTTATACTTATCTGTTGAGAACAGTTACACACCATATATTTTTTTTATAAATTCGAAAAAAATGTTAAAAACTCATAAATTCATCCAAAATAATATGGTAATAGAATTGGAGTTTACATCATTAAGAGTATAACAAATTAAAAAATGATACATATCATACCGTATAATTTTATCATATATGTAATGATTTTTTCTATTCAATTTTATAGAACAATATTTTAATTTTTAAAGAATTATTTAAATATACTGTAATCATAACTTGTGTATTGCACGGGCCTTTTTAACTAAATAGATATCTATATATATATATAGTACTACCAAAAACATTTTAACCTGAATTTAGGATTATATGTATCATTAATAAAAAAAATATAAAAATATCTTTCCACTCTTTATCGCACATGGATAATCAATGCCGGGGTCATTTGTTACAATAAACCCCAATATTTTTTTGGGATTTGGGGTTGTCACTGTTATGTAGCTGAATAGATTCATTTTGGATCTACTTTGATAATCTGAATTATTTATATATTAGATTATATTGAGTATGATATATTTGTAAAAAATTAAATTAATCAGATATCGTTAATTCTTTCATACACTCACATTTGTATGCATTTTAATACTTTTAAATTACAATTATCATTTATTTTTTAGATACATATGTGAGTATATGAAAAGATTAACGATATCTGATTAATCTGATTTTTTTACAAGCATGTTACACTCGATATAATTTAAAATGTGAACTGTTCAAATTATGAAAATAACTTTCAAAATGGATTCATTTAGCTGCATAGCAATGACTATTGTGTCCCCAATACAACAGCATAGCAATGACTATTGTGTCCCCAATACAACAGCCACCCCCAAATCTTTTTTTTTTCAA